CCATATTCAACTATAATCGTTCAGTATAATATAATACTTTTTCAATAATAATAATTCATCGTGTAGGATATGATCGGTGGACCCACGGTCCATAATTTCCGATTTTAACGCCAAAATTTTCGGATATTTTTTAAAACCTCCCTCCCTCTCTAAGAGCCAAAAAGGCAAAAACTTCCCCAGACAGCTACACGGGAAAAAATAGACAAATAAAATATACAAAATTCAAAAAAAAAAAAAAATCATGTTAGAAAATTATCTGTTTGTTTATACTGTTACAGATCGGGGAGCTCCACTTTGGTCTCCTTGATCGATGCCACACCAAGCCTGCACCACACGAATCGGGATTTCGAATTCCGCCATTGTTGATTCCTTCCCCCATTTTGTTCCTCGAGCTTTCTCATTGGATCCGGATTTGAATTGTAGCTGTTAGGATTTTGATCGGGAATTTGAGGTTTGACGATTGGTATTGTACGGGCTCTCAATTGTTTCTCTGCATTTTTTTTTTGGGGGGGGTTGAAGGTTCTGGGGATCAGCATTGTGCACATTTTGGATTCGGATTGAATATCTAGGGAGAATTTGAGGTTCAGCGGGCTTGAAATTGTACGGATCTGATCGGTTTCGTAAATCTGTTGCTGTGGTGTATTGGTCATTGCAATTCTGAACCGGCATTTCTCTGCATTCATCGTTTTTTTTTTTTTTTTTTTTTTTTTTTTTTTTTTTTTTAAATTCTTTTTTGGTTAGTTTTTGAGGATTTGATGCGTCGAAGGTGAATTGGAACTTCACGGGAGAATAATCTGTTTATTGAGGCTTTGTTGCTTTGAGATATGGATCCTATTTCTGCTGTCAGCGAGGAGCTAGCGGAGATCAATGGCCAAATCTCCGACATTTTTCGAGCTTTATCGTAAGAATTTCTCATCTTTCTTGTTCTTTGTTATCTATTGCTCTTCACCTTGCAATTACAACCTTCAAATATTGCTTGTTCTTGCCTCGTGCTAAAATAATTAAAAACTTTGATGAGATTGTATATCTAGCTTCAGCTGATATGTCAAATACCTGCTTCATAGCAGCTAGCTAAGTATCTGCACTCTTGGGTTTTTCTTATTCCCCTTAAATTTTTATTTTTGAAGTAATGTTTTTGATGTGCTTTTTCTTGTAGAAATGGGTTCCAAAAATTGGAGAAGATTAAGGATGTTAACAGGCAGAGCAGGCAGTTGGAAGAGCTTACTGATAAGATGCGTGAATGCAAGAGGTAGCTGGGTTTATCGTATCTAATTTGCTTGATTAAACTGTCAGTGCATATATGGTGTCATAAATGGTAGTTGATTAAGAAATTACTAACAAAGTGACAATGATATATATATATGTATGTATGTATGTATGTATGTATATATTGCTTAGTGCAAAGCCAACGCTTCCATTATTCACTTATTTAAGAGACTGTTTTATTCAATTTGGAAATGAAAGTTGTCCCTTTTCTTTTACTGGTTCTCTCCATCATTTGTTTCCTTGATTTCACTATCGATGAAGTAAGCATAAAAAGAATGAAGGATAGTAAACCTTATTTATAGGAGTTAAGAAGTTCTGTACTTAAGAGTGGGAATATTGTGAACATCAATAAAATTCCAATATTATTCTTTTTGTTTTTGTTGCTGTTATTTAATTCCTCAAGAACAGTCTTTTTTATGTGTTTGAATTAAAAACTATCTTATTGTTGTATTTTCAGACTTATCAAAGAGTTTGACAAAGAAGTGAAGAACATGGAGAGTAGAAATGACCCAAATACCAACAGGATGCTTAGTGAGAAAAAGCAATCAATGGTGCTTTAATTTTAAATTTATGTTATCAATTTTACCCTTTTTTTCTCCTTTT